GCTTTTATTTTGAAAGAGACTGTATGCAAACTGTACATTTCCTGTGAAAACAGAAGTGTATTTTGAAAACAGACAATGCATGTAACAGGCTGAAGTTGACACGGCGTCCCAGAACGTCAACAACCAACACACCCAGGGTACCTTGGACGTCATATGTGGACGTGGAAAGTCCATGACCAAACGTGGACATGTGACGAGGTCACAGTGAGGATGAGCTGTAAAAGACAGTGCTATGGAAATAAAGAATAGTGCGAAATATTGACAAAGACAACATTGATTCCTTTAAATCTTCTATTTATAACATTTGAAATGAAGCACACAACAAGAAGCTATCAGATGACCTGTGAACGGACTAACAGTAACTCATTCTCTCCTGCTTATAAAGGAATGTTTGAATATTACATTTAAAGGTACTGTTCCAGGAGCATAAACTTTTCCTGACCTGATGTACCCTGGCAGGCACAAACTGATAAAAGAGGCGCAGGAAGCGATGAAGGCATTAACCAGTCAGCCAGCCAATGTTTCCTTGTAGGGCTGAGAAGTCTAACCAAGTCATTTGCATGTCCCTCCCGTGCTCTGGCATGTTTACTGAGCGGGTCAGGAGCTGAATGAGAACATGCTGCCTGCACCGCTCTGCCTGTCAGCTCCGGCTCGAGACGAATATCAGCTCATTGTGCTGCATCAGGCTCCTCACTACTGGGATCAGCTGCTGCTGATGAGGACAATGTAAAACCAGGAATTATCTGGATCAGTCCAATTACACAGGTAAGTGCTGTGTGCACAGGTGGTCTCTGCTTTTCTGGGGGTCTTTATGTCTCAGTGCCGTGGATGGAGGCAGTATGTTTTCAGGTTGTCTGTCCCATCCTTGTGCACACGTTACTTCAAGAATGCCTCGAGGGAGTCTTTAAATTTGGCACAAACTTTCACTGGGACTCGAGAATAAACTGATTAGATTTTGGTGGTCGTAGGTGAGAGGTGAAGTCTGAAAAAAAAAGTCCTAAAATAATATCTAGATATTTTTGAAATAACGATATTCTTGACAAATTAGTAAAATAATAATTTATTTTTAATTTAAGAACGTAGAGTTGCAACAAAATCAGTGATAGTTTCACAGTTTGCTTCAAATCTTCAGTAAAAACTAAAATGATGTTTCATGTCTTCAGTTTGTGAACAACAACAGTAACTCAGAGTCAGATTCAGATCCTGTCACAATATTAAGAGTTCAACTAAATCAAATCTACCACTAATTACACATTTAAACAAATGTCCCCTGGGATCTATCTATATATATATATATATAAATCAACAGCTGATTTCCCTCTTTGAGCAAAATCCTGTCATGTTTTCACTGACGTGGATGGAGACTGTCAGAGACACTGGCCTGGCGTGCAGAAGGGTACGACCGTGAGGCAGTAAATCTAGTTTGTGCATCTGTTGCTTATCATTTTATAAGATGTTGATCCCGTCTGTGGTTCCCACCTCTCCAGGTTCCTTCCATGGCATCTGAAGGAGCTCGGGCCAGGAGGACCAATCTGCTTGCATCCAGGGTCCACTGGAGCCCCACAGACATACCTGACTTCATCATGGCTCAGGACCAAAAGGCTCACGGTATGGAGACTATGAAGATGCACTCTGTCAGGACATGATACATACTGAAATTAAAAAAGGATACCAGAGATTTAGTTTAAGCTCATTTACTTTTAATCATCTTGCAATAATGTAACATTAACATGAAAAAAGAGTTACACTAATCATTATTGTGGTTTTAAATTTTGCACATCATATCTCGACGTGGAAAGTCCATGACCAACCGTCAACATATGACGAGGTTGGAGTGAGAATGTGTTGAAGTAACAGAATGCAGCTACATAATTTTATATCCTATCTGTCCATGTAGAAAAGATTTTGTCTTAAATATTTGTAAATAACCAAAATGGATTACCACACAACTGCAAGTCCCCCACTGCTCCGCTCTCCCATGGTGTTCCCCAAGGTTCAGGTCTTGGCCCCCTCCCTTTCATTCTGTACAATCTCTCCCCCTTGGTCAAATAATCTGCCGCCGTGGACATCAGGTTTGCTGCTTCACTCACAACGTTCAGCTCCACGTGTCCACCAAAGCCATCACTCTTGCCGCTCACTCTGCCCTCTCCAGCTGCATCACTGAAATAAAATCCTGGCAGCTAAAATGCCCTCAAACTTCAGCGGGATTTATACTTGTGCGCAGACCCTACGCCATAACCTACGCACATGGCTCTTAGTGATGGCCAAATGAAGCCTCATGAAGCATTTTCTTTATTTTCTGAGCCCACTAGATGGCGCTCATGGTTTAAGGAGAGAGGCTCAAAGAATGGCAATTCAGTGTGCTTTCAACCTTTTGTTGAACAAAAAGTGCCATCTAGTGGGCTCAGAAAATAAAGAAAATGCTTCATGAGGCTTCATTTGGCCATCACTAAGTGAGCATTTCTACTTGTGTGGTGGTGTGTTTGTGTCACTCTGCAGTTACACCTTCGAAACACTAGTTGGCGGCAGAGGCTTCTATGAAGTGCTGTAAAGTTTAGTTGATTCAAAACACACATTAAACACACATTAAACACACATTAAACACACATTAAACATGGCTTAATAGAGACCATTTCAAACACAAGTACACAAATCAGCTTCACTATAACTCGCAGCATTCACAGACAAACACTTGTCTTTATCTGGACACATTTTCCCCACAAATACAACATGCTAATGTTATTTGCACAAGCCTATGGCATTTTACATAGTAAACATTAGCATAGTGGCTAGTGATCTTCTCATATACAGCCCACAGCAACATTTAACAAAGGTAGCGTTACAAAATTTGGCTCCATTACAACTCACAAGGTTCACTGATAAAACAAAACAGGATACAATGTAAAGCTCAGCTCACCTCCCAGCTACATCAGCTGGGAGGTGAGCTGATAGATCACATGATTCCTTTCTGTGCAACCAATTGGCTAATCCCATTCATGGCGCCCTATTTAAACTGCTCTGACCTGCCTACTGTTGCTGCTTCCTCTGCAAGCTGCTTTGCAACCTGCCTCAACCCCAGCTCCTCCTTTTCATGCTGTGTCTGACTTATCAATGTCATTTCTGTTTGTCACTGATGCTGCTCTGTTCTGTTCCCGGGGGTCTTTGCTGCTGCTCTCCCTGCCTTAGACTTTCTGTGTCAGCACATGGAAGGGCAGAGATGTGTACTCTCTCCACCTTAGACTCTCTGTGTAGGCCCTAGTGAAGGTAGAGAGGCCCAAATATAATACTGCAAATGAAAACAAAGTTTTCTTTGGCTGAACTGAGGTTATCTGTGCAGCACAAGGAGGAAGCCTGTCAGATGAGATGTTGCTGCTGTTCAGCGGTCAGCGCTCAGTGGAGGCTTCCTGCTTCTGTTACATCATGTGTTTGCTGTCAGTTGTTATTTGTCAACGGTCTCATTATAATTTGTTGCATCATGTCAACCACAGGAAACTCGAGCCAGGACAGCGTCAGGAAATGGCTCACCACCGCGGTCACAGAGTGAGTAGTGAGATGGCAGAGCTGTCGTCTGTTCCACCAGCCTCTCTTTTCCACCAAGTATTTTTGGCTGGCAGGTTTCAGTCACTGCCTTTTACCTTTTGTTTCTGAGAAGGTGACATGTGACACATTGGAGAAATGTGTTCTTTTGAGATTTAAAAATTCAGAAGCCCCCTTTCCTCTGTACAGAAAAAACCCGCTAACACTTGCTACTGTAACATCTGGCTTTTAGTATAATGGGAGAGTTCACAATCGGCAGTCGCACCCGGGTCAAATGACTCTGCAGTAGTTACAGGTTTTTATTGGCTCAGGCTTCGATTGGCACTGATGGAAACCAAGATACCCGGCGCTCAGTTATTGACTTCCGGCGTCAGACAGTGACGAAAAAAGCTGTCCTCACTGGAATAGTTTAAAGAGAAAAAACAGATAGAAAACATTATGACTAAAAGTTGACTAAAACATTTTGAATTTTTGCTGAATAAAACCATGAAGGATAAAATGACTAAAATGTGACTAAAACTAATAAACATTTTCATCTGGAGATTAAGACAAAATCTAAAATAGCTGTAAATGAACAGTGTCATTGTGTCGAGCACCACAGTACAAAATAATAGTGATGACAGGAAATAGTTGAATGTTTGAATGGATTTACAAAATACTTTAGATAAGGCTTCTAGCTCTGTTTCTTCCTGTGATACTCCTCACAGTGAATTTATCTTCAACTTCAACACTTTGTTATGACCTGTATTTGAACGGCCACGTATAAATATTTGTGCTGCACACTCCAGACCACATGCCATACATTTATATAGGATATTGCATCATAGGATTGTGACCAGGGGGGTAGACTGTCTATCAAGCCAGGGGGAAATTTTGGGGAAGACCCATACAGGCCAATGCAAAAAAATCCTCATGCAGGATTCAGCCTACAAACAAAGACAAAAGAGAAACGGGTAGGTCGGAGGAAGCATTGTGTCCGCTACTGCTAATAAAACCTTTCACAAAAGTTAAACACATTAAAATGACCTCTCGGCAAAACTGCAGTAGCACTGCAAGAAAACAAGAGAAAAACTCAATTACCCAAAAACCCCTTGATTTAAATTAAAGGAGAGTTTCTGGAGTGTTAACAGAGACGGTCATGAGGTTAAAAGGGTTAAATCGGTTCTCACTTAAGGCAATAATTCACCTCTGTCAGACAGACTTCAAACCCAGGGAGTGTGCTGACCTTCGAGGGAAAATCGTGTTGCCCTCCAACACTGAAAGAGCGATACATTTCACAAGACACATGCAGGACACCAAACCATACAATCAAAGAAACGCTCCAGTATTACTCACCACAGCAATGATCTGCAGTGTCTTTGCAGCATGAATGAGCTACACCTGAAGCCTGTAGTACGAAGCAGGATGTGGAGTTAGCGAGGTAACTTCAGGGTTAACTCTGGGTTGTCAGTAGTGATGGCCAAATGAAGCCTTGTGAAGCATTGTCTTTATTTTCTGAGCCCACTAGATGGCACTTTTTGTTCAACAAAAGGTTGAAAGCACACTGAATTGCCATTCTTTGAGCCTCTCTCTTTAAACCATGAGCGCCATCTAGTGGGCTCAGAAAATAAAGACAGTGCTTCATGAGGCTTCATTTGGCCATCACTAGTTTTCAGTACTACGGAGCTGGTTCTCTTTTTCCCTGGATAAATCACCGTGGTGACTGATGCTGAAAGCTGACCTGATCACAGCCCGTCAACAGCCCGACCTCTGACCAATCAGATCACTGAAGACAAAAATATCTACGGACAAAAGGAGTCGTAGGTAAAAAAGAGGAGCCTGTACAGTATGTTGTTAAAGGTCAGTAGAATCATTTCATTGTTGAAGGCTCTGTTTCTACTGGTTTTAGATCGTTAACACACTAAACACATGATTTTAACTGATGCAAAGTTTATTGTAGTCGCAGTGACGTGTTGATATTTGACACTCTGATTCATCACTGCAGCTCAGAATAACACGAGACACCTGTGTTGTGAGAACTAGGAAAAAATATTTTATTTTATTAGTAAATGAAATGCAACATTTCAGTCAGACAGACGTCATCAGTCATTAACTACTTTTCCAAACTTTACTGCAGCAGCAGAAACAGTCTGACGTTACCTTAAAGTGTTTTATGTGACTTACTCACCATCATCCAACTAAACAGCAAAAAACACTCTGTGCTAATGTCACATACAGCTCAGTGATACCTGTACGTAATTTAAGACTCTGCTGACGGAGACAGTTTTGACAGCATTTCCAATATTTATACAGTTCCGTTATAAGATTTCAGAGTACAGCTTACATCCCACACCACTGACATTTTACTGTCTCAGGCAGTTTCGTTATCATTTCATATCACATGAAGCAGCCTCCTTCATTCATGGCTCTGATGATGTCGCTTGTAATTAACAGCCCTGCCTCTTTCACATCAACGTTCTTGTGGCTGGAGAGGAAAAGCCAGAGTTGAGTGAACTGGTTGACAACCAGCTTTGTGGCACCAGTTATCAGATGGCTGATGTGATGAGTTAGTCAGACCAGATAACGAAAAGATATCTGGCTTCGTAGTGCAGGCCTCAGGAGCCCATTCAAAGCTAATCAGGCCCTCTAAAGGTGGACTGACCTTTAAGGTGGCCCAGCCAACCCTAATACATGATATTTTCACAATATATTGCCCACATTGCGTGTGTGTGTGTGTGTGTGTGCTTTCTTGTACTCTGTCCCTCCTTCTAATAAAATGTGACCTGTGTTTGCAGGGAAGATGCAAAGCATGAGCCACTGAGGGAAGCTGCAGGTACGACCAATGGAAATCCCTCTTTCTTATTTTCCTGTCGAGAGGTGTGTGTCGCCTCTCCTCTGTGTCAGCTTTATATTGTCGTCTTGCTTGTGTGATTCAGTGGTGCACGATGGTGAGTACAGCGTTTGTGTGCTTCTTACTGAGCTCTTTAGTGATGGGAGTGAAGTGAGGTGAACGGTTCCAGTGAAGTTGCGACTGGCTGCTGAATCTGTGGAGCGGAAAATGAACTTTAAGGCTGCATGTGTTTTGTCACAGAAGTCATCAGTGAGTGAGAGAAAAGGCAGACGCACAGTAGCTGACACGCAGTGTGCACAGTAGCTGCAGTGAAGTACACAGTTACATAACAGCCAGGTTAACATGTTTCTGCAGCTTCAGTGGAAGAAATGAATGTTTTTATGTCTGATGCTCTTCCCCAAATGAGGTTGGTTATTTCTTCACATCAGTTGCTTCAGTTGTTGTTGTTTGTGTTTGTCACGTTCACATTTCCTTCCCATAGAGCTGAATTTAAAATCTTCCGTCTGAATTAATGACACTGAAAATGAATCTGGAGGTGTGACATCACTCTTTGGGGAATTTACACACGTTGTTGTTGAGCAGTGTGTACGATTATCTAACCTACACACCTCCCCCCACCCTGCCCTGAGGCCAGCCCATTCAAACAGCATGCAAATGGTGGTTGAGAAAACCATGGGAACGGCAAATTGCTCCTTGTGCCTCTGCCCCCCCAACCCCCCCCCCCTTGTCGCTCAGGCCGAGACGATCTCCGTCCACTGTGCTGCTGGCTGCTACCTCGGCAGTAATGTCAAGGTCGTAAAGGTTTAACCATGAAAAAACTTGAGCAGGGAGCGTGGGAGGCTGGCCACTCTGCCGCTCAGCTATCAATCAAGTGAAAGCAAACCCTTCAGCACACTGGGTAGGCCCTGAATCGAAGGTTACAACATTGTAACCCTAGTTCTATTGGCACAGGCAGAGCCCTTTACTGGACTCTATGGGTAATACTCTCCTCCAATCATAAGCATGCATATGCCCACTGATGTTTGCATAAATGTAGCAGACCAATCAGGACGTGTCTACCTGAAAATGTGCGTGCTAATAGAACTAGGGTTATCATGACCTTCATTCTATGTCAAACAGGCTCCGCCCTCTACTGGACGATTTGGGTACAGTGGGTGGAACCAAAATGAATGAACACACTATTTCAGCATAACATCGACAGACAGCAGTCTCCTGTCCTCTGTCAGATAATGTCCCGCTCTAGTTTGGAGTTGTGTCAAGCTGAGTGTGTCCAGTGTTGGTTGGTTTTTAGGCGGAGCTGGTTTTACGTTAGCCTCCATCTTTGTTTTGATGAACTTCCTGACAGATGCCGCTGACTGAGACCTCTGCTGACCTCACCAGGGAACAAACATCAGCACCATCTAGTGGAGCGAAAAGCAACTGATTTTATTTTTCTAGCACCAAAAGTTGGATTAAAATGTGTAATTGCAAAAATTAATAATGTAAATAATAACAGGAGACAGGAGACGTATACAGTCTTGAGGAGGATTACTCTCCTCATCTCTCCCGCTGCTGAACAACACAACACTATTATCTGTCTCTCATGTAGCTGTGTCCTGTGTCCCCTGCAGAGCCTCAGAGGAGGGACCCCAGCGGTGACGATGACCTGGCCCTGGGCGTAGACGGTAAACAGCCTTCTCTCCTGGACTTGTAGGGTGCCATTCTCAGCAGGGAACCTTTACAGGCGCGCTCTGGCAAACTCTGCAGTTTAGGAAAGCAAGCCTGTGATTTATCTTTAGTGTGTATCTTCCAACACCAGCAGAGACAGAATGACTTGCCAGAATCTTTTGTGTATTTATACTGAGGAGGGTGCAGAGTGGTGTGGGGGAGTTCAATTGTTATGTTGCCTCAGCACACCCAGGTCCATACCTCTGAATGTATTTCAAGTTGTACAGAACTGGGTGTTGAGGTTTCAAGGAGCAAAGAGGGCACACTACTGTGATATGAGAAGCAATATCCTTTATTATCCTCTGGTACACCCCCGTGTGGGGGAGTAGGAGCACAACATAAAAGTGTGTAAGGCTGTTCCCTTCCTGGTCACCAAACCAGTCAGCTCACAGCAAGAGTTACAGTTCAGAGTTAAAATATTTATTATTGTAAGAAAATTAACTTATAACAATAATGTGAAGCAAAAATAACTCAGGGTGGAGCGAGGCCAAAACAACTGTCTAAACCCGGAACATGCTAATTCCACCTATGTGAGAAACAAACAAAAAGATATTCAGTGAATGAGGCTCCCCGCGACGCATCTGAAAACATGAGGAAAGTAAACAAAATAAAATGGCAGCCCACGCCAACAGCTTCAAAACTAAGTTAAACATAATAAATGTAAACTAGTGCAACAAACAGTCTATTAAATGCTCACCATGTTTTACACACACTGACACTAACACTCACTATGGTGGCCCACAGGAGGCACAATCAGTCAGTACCGAAAAATGAATCCCCACATTTAACAAAAATACAATACAGGAGGTTTGGAGGTCGACGACAGGAATGCCGCTGCTGTCAGTGACTGTCAACCGGCCTGTTGGGAGGCCGGGGGTTTATGGTGCGTTTGTTTTGTACTTGGAGGTCAGAAATTCCCAGTTCCCAGTTGGAAGTTTAAACTCGAACGCACCCTGAGATCGGATTTCCAACTCGGAAACTCGGAGCAACCGCATCAATCCCGACTTACGAATTCAAGATGGCTGCCGGTCACATACATAGTGAGTAAACACTCTGCTAAAGTACTGTTTATAGCAATTTTATCTTGTTTGTTTTACATCAGGTCAGCCTCATCTGCAGCATTCATCAGTTGGAGTGCATGATGGTTTTGAAGCTGTCTATACTCTAAAGTGTAAGGGCAACAAAGGGGTCGACACTCCCAGACCAAGCCCACACTGCCATCCAATCAGCATTCCACACCTGTAGGTAATACACAAAGATCCTCTTGCGAAAAGGAGCACTCACTCTCACAGTCAGAGAAACAGGTTGGAGTGAGTCCAAATACAGCCAGAGCTGTGACCTCCTCTAAAAATATGAAGCTGATAACAGATGATATCAATACTGTTTTACTCACTTCATAATTGCAGTAACGCTTCATGTAAATTATTTTATTGCAAATTATCAACAACCACATCAACTCACATGTTATGTCACAGAGCAGACAGATACATGACCTGGGGACATTAAACGTATTTAAATCAATATGCAAAACAATTATTAACACTCACAGGCAATAAAAGTTGTCTATTAACCAAAGTGCAGTCTGCAGACAGCAGGCTGACCTGCACCGTCTGACGCTGGTACAAGAACGAATCCGGCGAGCCCTGAAGCTTTTTGGTATTCTGCACCGTACAGGAAGTAGATCAGCATGTATGGAAAGTGTCAGGTATCTGGTTTGTTGTACTGGATGGCAGAGGAGGGGGACTCGAGTCACATGACTTGACTTGAGTCGCAAATGTGAGGACTTTAGACTTGCTTGACTGACACTGAAGAAAGACTCGACTTTGACTTCAGAACAGATGACTTGACTTTTTTATTTCATACTTTATTTAGTATTTGTAGTTTTTTAGATATTGAGAAGTTTTGTTTTTAAGATATGATGGCACACATGTGGCAGCGGGGGAGGACCCGCCGGCTGATATTCGTGTCCACACGGCTCTGTCCTCCTGCTCTCAGCTCTCCTCTGAGGAATGGCAGTATGAAGAGCAGCATCACCGTGAGCTTTAATTCAGTTCTATCTGTGTCATACGTGTCAGTTAAATTTTCAATAACTCATTCAGTGTTGAACATGTTTTACAGCCAGCGTCACACAGTCGACTCCGGGCTGTTACGCACACACAGTCTCCACTGTAGGAGTCGACACATGCACTTTCATGTCAGCTTTCTGTGCTCAGGCTCTGCTCTTATCTGCACAAGGCTTTACAGTATAACGACTTCCTGCCTGCTGTCCCAACATAAGGTCACTATATGTCAGTGTGTGTATCTGTGCGTCATGAGATAGTGTCCTCAGTGACTGTGCTATTATCTCAGCTGCTCTCTGACAGCAGCAGGTGTGTTACCTGAGCAGAGACTGTCACCCTGACCAGAGGGCTCGGAGCAGCACAGGAAGTATTTCAACCCTCTACTCTAGTAAAAGTAATTAAAACCAGCCTGTAAAAAACTCTGTTTTGTACTTACAGAAAAAGTCCTGTAAAAATGTGCCCTGCGACTGTGTCTGATCTCATCACGTGATTCTGACTCATTCATGTAAAAGTTGAGGTGAAGCTCATTTTAAACTAATGATTATTTTCATTATGCGTTAATCTGCTGATTATTTTCTTTATTAATAAATTATTAAATAATAAAAAGCAAAAGCAGCCAAAAAAAAAAAAACAACTTGCTCGACTCAGCAGGGATTTTCCAGTGACTTGAGACTTGAAGGTTATGACTTGATACGTGCTTATGACTTGCACGTGTGACTTAAAGTTTCTTTATGCTTCTGCGTACACTCGACGCAACGTGCACACAGCTGCTCCACAGTTGCTGTGTGCCTATCATAGTTCTGCCTCCTGTTGGTAGTGATGGCCAAATGAAGCCTTGTGAAGCATTTTCTTAATTTTCTGAGCCCACTAGATGGCGCTCATGGTTTCAAGAGAGAGGCTCAAAGAATGGCAATTCAGTGTGCTTTCAACCTTTTGTTGAACAAAAAGCGCCATCTAGTTGGCTCAGAAAATAAAAACAATCTTCATGAGGCTTCATTTGGCCATCACTACCTGTTGGTCTATGTTTATCTTCCGGCTTTGCTCTAGTCACAGTGAAGATGGCGACCGAGAGAGAAAGACTGTTGCTGGAGCTTGAAATGATCGACACTGAACAACAAACTAAGCTCTTCAACTTGATCCATCTTTTAATCAAAACTCAAAACACAACTGATCACAATGGAGACTTCTGAAAATGGCGGTGTTGTGGTACTGCAGCAGGAAGTGAAACCTTGTGAAATGATGTAGTTTGAAGGACCAATCATAGCTCTTGCAGTCAGCGTTGTGTCTGCGTTGCCTTGACGCATGGTTACAATTTGTTGCAGGTGCACGTTGCATCTCTGTGTCGGTCGCAGAGGAATGCGACGCCTCCGCAAAGCCCTCTGCGTCGGTCGTAGGCACACAGAAGCATAAACCTTGCTTCACTCCCACCTCTGATGATTTGACAGGATTGCTGAAGCTGGGATGGGCGGCTGTGTGAACACTAATGACGTAGGCGTGGGCGTTTCCTGTCGCCTCTCTGTCACCTCGACTGAGTGTTAAATTTATGCCCGTGTCTTTTTTGCATGTCTTGATGATGCTTTTGAGGCTGGCTCTGGACAGTGGTGGCGTGACCTGATGAGTTAAGTAAAAATGACATCATCTGAGCTGCTTTCAACCTCAAAGTGAAGGAGTAGTTCCCAGTTTCATCAAAGCCATTTGCACTGCCACATTAAAGTCAGCCTGTTAGAGGTCAGTTTACGCAGACGCTCTCACTATCTTCAGTTTGACAAGAGCCTCTCCGTGTGTCCTTCACTGCAACCCTAGCTTTCCATATGGTCCTTATAGAAAAGCAAACTGTGCAGATCAGAGCTCAGATGACAGCAGACACCAGTCACCACCTGAGGAGTCTGTGCAGAAATGCCTGTAGCTTCACTGGTTGTTGGAGGTTTTGACAAAACTACTGTGTGCGTTTTAAAAACATAAGATATGGCACTACAGAGGGAGAAAGACGACTTTTTTCTTGACACCATGCCAGCATCAAATGGAGTCCCAGTCTGGGAGAGGGAGGCAGAGGTGACTGCCAAAACCCAAACACTCACTGGAGGAATAAAGAGGAGAGGGAGGGAGAGTCAGAGACAGAGACAGAGAGAAACACTTTCCTAATATAGCTCAAGCAGCCTTAACACCAGACCTGGACAGGATGTGCTGACTTTTAACCAGGAGAACATCAAGGAGACGTCTCCCTGTGTTCTGCCTTCCTCCTCTCCTGATGTTTAGCTCTCTGCTTGTGTCATGTATGACCCCACATGGCCTGTTTGCCTCCTCGTCTAGAAGATAACATGACTTTTCTCTCCTGCAGCGTCTTTATATGGTAACCAGGGAGTGAGGACGGTCCAGGAGTTTCTGCGGTAAGACGCCTCTCTTCTTCTTCTTGTTTTCATCTCTTACAGATGTGCACACAGCCAGCAGTGTAGAGTGAGGGGGAGCTCTGTCACACAGCACAGTGCTGGAACTCACTGGCACACAGCTGGTAGATATTCACTGTGGATATTTTAATACCAGTAAAAGTGAAAATGATCTGACTTCAGTGGTGTGAAGCTTTTGTCAGTTTAAATCAGGGTGAAGCTGTTGATGATCTGGAACCAAATCTGAAAACGTTTCATTTTGAGCTTGGTATTAATCAAAGTTTAAACTTATTTTCAGATGTAATCAGGCTGCAGCACAGTTGCAGCTGTATATTAATGTGTTTATGGTCAACGTTAGATTCATTTGAATGTGTTTATTTTGCAAAGACAGCAGCGTCTCAGAGGCCTCGCACCAATCTACTGTATGACCTGAGTCAGAGTCCTGCATGGGTCCATTTTTGAAAACCTGCACCCACACTTACCCTTAAGCTCAGCACCAGAACCAACATGTTTGATCACGGGTGCAGCTTTGACTTAGACGTGACGGGTAACAGGTTGGTTATTGGACGTCTCTTTGACTGGATGGTGAAAACATTCAATCACTGCCAGGTTAGGAAACATGTTAGCATGCTCCTTCCACCACCATCAAACCTCCAAAGGATCCCAACTCCATGTAGGCTGCCACCTCATCCTCAGGCTGCAAAGTAACATGGCTGGAGTCCTCCACATCGGTGACCAATGTGACCACGGGGTCAAAGGTTACACTGGTGTCACTGACTTTCAAAATAAAAGGAACTGCAGCTTGATAATAGTGTTTTAGATTTTAGAATATTACACATATACTGCACAGCTTTTTACTGCGTTTTATCCTGAAAAATTAAATATAGATTTTTGTTCTCCCTCACTGCCCGCCCACATGGAGTTCATTTTTACTTATTACACAGCTTTTTGCAGGCTTATAAATAAAACTGAATTAAATTGAACCAACAAATCTGCATAATGCCTAATCTCAGATTAATGCTTTACCCTAAAACACAGAGCTGCAGGGTCAAACTTCAGTTCATGTTCTAACACAATGAACCATCCAAAGCCTCGTTTCCACCAAGCTGTTCAGTTCATTTCGGTGAACATTAGAACCAACACGTTCTCACTGCGACCTCGTCACGAGACACGACGTCCAAGGTACCCTGGGTGTGTTGGTTGTTGAGGTTCTGGGACGCCGTGTCAACTTCGGCCTGTGACATGCATTGTCTGTTTTCAAAATACACTTCTGTTTTGGGAAGAAAAAATGAACTTGAGGCACTGGTGCGTGCAGCAGGAACAGATGCATTTGAATTAAGTTAAAAAGCCTTTATTTCAAAACACGGCTGCTTACATTAAAACAACGACAGGTTTCAACCCGAAGGTCTTCGTCAGGGTGCAAAAGGGTGGACAAGAGTCAAGCAAACATTTTATAAGCTTGGAAGGGGGTGTCACCCAATCTTGATTAATAAGTGAGCGCAGGTGGGTGACAGCAGTGGATTACAATGAGAGGCCGTTTACATGTACACGGTGATTTTGATAAACGGAGACATCTTCCTTCGTTTACCCGCAAACGGAGATTTCTCCTCTGAAAACGAGTCTTTCTAAAAACTCCGGCCAGAGTGGAGATTTGCACGTTTGCATGTAAACTGAGATAAACGGAGATAAACGGAGTTATAGGCAGCCGACGTCACAGTATGCGCCAGAACTTGCGTCTGTGTCAAAAGTGCGACCTATGTTGCTATGGTGACAATGGATACATGGAAGGCTTGAGCTTCTCGTTACACTGCCACCTACAGGTTTGGCATGCTCTTGTGTATATATACATGGGTAAGTGTAAACGAAGATCTTTTTGAAAACGTAGACGGTGAAATGTCCGTTTATGAAAATAGCCAGCAACGTGTAAACGGCCTCTGAGAGGACATTTTGGAAGTGACTCCACAAGTGTTCAATTAAAAAAAAATAATTAAAAAATCCCTGTGCTAAAATGAAAAATTATTAACTAAATATAAAAAATATGCATGTACAAAAGGGAGGAAAGATTACGTATTGGTGTATTTATGTTCTGAAAGTCTATCTTTAAGGCGTCTTTGGTGCATCCTACACCATTACCATTAGTCTTATATTTTCATTAGTTGAATTTAAGCAGTCATGAAAGGATCTTAATTCAGTCTCACAACCTGAAAAACGTAAATAAATATCATCAGTAAATCAAGAACAGAATTAGATCTTGTCAAGGAAAATATTCTTTTGGGGGTTGTAAATGAATTCTTCCTCCCAAAGACCAAAATACAAGCGTGTTCATGAGCAATATTGGCCGCATATTCGGTGTTGTACATACGCAGTGCTTTTATTTTGAAAGAGACTGTATCAAACTGTACATTTCCTGTAAAAACAGAAGTGTATTTTGAAAACAGACAATGCATGTAACAGGCTGAAGTTGACACGGCGTCCCTGAACGTCAACAACCAACACACCCAGGGTACCTTGGACGCCATATGTGGACGTGGAAAGTCCATGACCAAACGTGGACATGTGACGAGGTCACAGTGAGGATGATGATGGTTTATAAGCAGCTATTGTGTGCATTGTCCCGTTGCTTATGAGCAAAATGAGTTTGACTGGCTGTGATCCATCTTTACATGCTATGTTGGTGACGTGTGCATCAAGTTTGGTTGCATCTAACCTTTAGTCCTGTCTCTGCTAAGAGTTTACCCTTAATACTGAAAAATAATCATCTGTTATTTATTGGTTATAAAGCTTTTGTACGTGATCTGAACAGGAACACAATAACACAAAGCTATTTTTCTGTCCAGGGATCGACCCTTTTACTGTTAGTAAGCAGTGTGACGTCGTGGGCGGGGCTTAGCTGGAGGCAAAACAGTTCTCCACAGACGTTAGCTAGCGCTAGCTAACAAGTTGTGTTGTCTTGTTTTAGACGATGGGGGAAGATGATGTGAGTGGTGCGTACCAACAGGGCTCTCATTTTAGTGTAGAGCGTCAGACTGAATTTACCAACGCACCATGTCAGGTCACTCACTCTCCGGGACCGCCAGTGTTACTTGAATAAGTAAACACTGACCAACGGGACCAGACTGGCCGACCCGTATGCTCTCACTCAGTGGATGGATGATGTCACAGGAAGCCAATCTTACAAAGGAGGACCACACTTGTTTGTTTTGCTATGGAAGCTAACGTTAGCTAATGTGCTAAAAAGTTAGCGTTGCAGAGAAATCCAATATTCCTCTTAATCCCTCCCCAGTTTCTGATGAGGTGGACATGATAACCCTTAATACACATAACCTTATTCATCCCTACAACAGGAAATACTTTTTCCCTAACCTGATATGAAGTGTGCACTGCACATGTGAGCATTTTTGATGATGGCCTCCGTCCAGTCCTTTGGTCTTATCACATTTAACCATAGTTGTCTTTGTTTTTGTTGACGGGCAGTGGCGGCTGGTTTTGAGCCATGACTCCTTCTATTCTGGCTCCCAATAACACAACAAGACAAACACATTTTAACACTCCTATGGAGCCTACAGCCCTGTGGGGGAGAGGCAGCTGCACCTCCAGCTGATGACATGACGTCATCGTGACGTCTGGTTTATTAAAGGGTTGATAGAATGAGTGAAATGAATGTGTGTGAGTGTGTTTGTGGGAGAGAGAAGGCTGAAACATAGTTTATGTATAAACACATTATTAAGATATGACATATTAATTACATCACATTCAGTTGAAGCAGATAGTGAGCTGTATAAAAACATTACCAGCATTATGCTGAAAGGACCTGATAACCTGATGCAAATAGGCAGAGTGATTAGAAGAAATTTAAATAGCTGTTGCTGTAATGTGTTATAGATATGAGCTTCATAAGGACATGGTGTTTTAGTTCATCTTTGTGATTACGTACGGCACCCTCTCAGTGTCTGGTTCAGGCTGTGACAGCAGCCTCTGGACCTGAACACAAAGACGCATAACTACAAGTCATATTTACCAGGCAAATAAGCCTCACCTCCCCACATGCACAGCACGCAGCACAGTTTGCATAGAAAGCGAAAGGATCAGAGGAAAGTTACTACAATGCTTGACTGCTGTACAGAAAATATGAATCAGCAAAGAGCAGAGGGGTTGAGTATAAAAGATCCAGGACAGCAGGTTACACTGAGTTGTGATCAACAAAGACCTGCCGCACAATGTAAGTACACAGCTGTTGTTCAACACAAGGCTGCATTTCTGTTCTGTTCTGTATTTAAGATCTGTCTTAATTCAACAACCAACAGCATGTTCATACATTTGATGCTTATGTTCCTGCACATGGAGAGAAACACACAGAAGACAAAACAGCTGGTTGTGAACAGTAGAGCGTCACAGGATGTGTCAAGGGTTTCGAAATAAGCAGGGGTGGACTGGGACAAGAAGTTGGCCCTGGCATGTCGGCCCAGATCAGCACACCATCATCCATCACACAAATATTTGTCTTTCAACATGTTTAACAGGGGCTCTGAGGCTGTTTTTGGAGCATGACATGGTGAAGATGAGCTGCTGAAGTTCAAACGGAGCATCAGAATGATGAAGAAAGGTGATTGAAGTGACTTTGAACGTGGCATGGTTGTTGGTGCCAGACGGGCTGGTCTGAGTATTTACTGGGATTTTCAGCACAACCATCTCTAGGGTTTACAGAGGATGGTCCCAAAAAGAGCAAATATCCAGTGAGCCAAAATGCCTTGTTGATGCCAGAGGTCAGAGAAGAATGGCCAGACTGGTTCAAGATGATAGAAAGGCAACAGGAAGTCAAATAAGCACTGGTTCCAACCAAGGTGTGCAGAAGAGCATCTCTGAAGCAACAACACCTTGTCCAACCTTGAAGCAGATGGGCTACAGCAGCAGAAGACCACACCAGGTGCCACTCCTGTCAGCTAACAACAGGAAACTGAGGCTACAATTCACCAAAACTGGACAATAGAAGATTGGAAAAACCACATTCAGATGGAAGCATGGATCCATCCTGCCTTGTATCAACGCTTCAGGCTGCTGCTGGTGGTGTAATGGTGTGGGGGAGATTTTCTTAGTACCAACTGAGCATGGTTTAAACACCACAGCCTACCTGAGTATTGTTGCTGAGCGTGTCCATCCCTTTATGACCACAGTGTACCCATCTTCTGATGGCTACTTCCAGCAGGATAACGCACCATGTCACAAAGCTCACATCATCTCAAACATGACAATGAGTTCACTGTACTCCAATGGCCTCCACAGTCACCAGATCTCAGTCCAACAGAGCACCTTTGGGATGTGCTGGAACGGGAGATTCTCATCATGGATGTGCAGCCAGACTGGATGCTCTGCCTTTTAGAGGTTTTTTTTTTTTTTCATAATTCAGTTTTAAACAGAATCATGAAAACAACAACTATTCACAGGAGGTCCATTTTTAAAGGGTTAAAAAAAGGCAGAGCACAGATATGACCTTATGCACCCTGCAGTTAGACAGCAACATCATAATATTTATATATGAGCAATTTATAAAAAACACATGAAAGAAATATTGTTGTGACTGAAAGTGTGAACCCTTTGATGTGTATTGTAGGTGGAGCAGATCAGATCCAGCTCTCAGCAGGTGGAACAGCTTCAGCTCTGCAACTTCAGGTCACTCTGGACCACTCAGGTTAGACACACACACACACACACACACACACACACACACACACTTCAGATGCACTATATTAGTGCACAGTAGAGACATGTACTGAGATCTAAGCATGGCTCCGTTGGCCCCCTGTTGGCAGTGTGATGGACATACTCAACCTGTGGAGTGATGACCCAGAGGAGGTCCTCTTGGATCTGGGCTTTGGCTGCGACGAGCCCGACCTCTCTGGACGCATCCCAGCTCGTTTCATCAATCATCAGTCTCAGGCGAGAGGAATAAACCTGCAGGTGTTTCTGGAGGCCCAGAAGAACCGGCTGGACCTGGAGAACCCAGATGTCAACAGTAAGTCTAAGTCAGCGATCATCAATTGGCCGCTTGCGGGCCACATCCGGCCCGCCAAAGCTCTCCATCCAGCCGCAGACTATTAATTAAGTCAGAAAACGTGAGAGGGGAAAGAAATGCGTTACAGTCATCAGGTTATCTGGTATTTTTTCTTCTTATATTGAAGCAACCCCCAAAACAATTGAGATGGAAATAATTTTATTTGGATTGAGCCAACCAGCGGCACAGGAACAGGGCGATGTTAACCTCCATGTTCGCCTACAAAAAAAAAAAAAAGTCATCCCTATTTACCTGCTTGTTTCCTTTCCTGTCAGCTGTTTGATTTGTTTAGACAATCAGCCTTTTCGTGACACTTTCGGCCTTGCTCTTGTAAAAGGAGTTGAAACAATGCATAGGATGTAACAAGCTCACTGGCTGGCTGTCATCTGCCCTATGTAAATGAATGCGGTGGGTTTGGTGAGGAGAAAGTGGTAACGTTAGAAAAAGAGTTTGCATTTGAAGCACTGAAATGGAAAAGAAATGTCGAGGAAACCCCTGCACAAGCTACAGCTTCTTCTCATTGCTTTTATGTTAAAGATTTTTATTGCAATCCTAGCTCAGCTGAGTTTGGCCTTAGCTACGCTGACATTGTTGTTAGCTCATCTGACTTTGTTGTTAGCTCAGTAGGCTTTGTTGTTAGCTCAGTAGGCTTTGCTGTTGGCTCAGTAGGCTTTGTTGCTAGCTCAGTAGGCTTTGTTGCTAGCTCAGTAGGCTTTGTTGTTAGCTCATCTGACTTTGTTGTTAGCTCAGTAGGCTTTGTTGCTAGCTCAACTGACTTTGTTGTTAGCTCAGTTGAGTTTTTTGTGTTAGCTCAGTTGAGTTTTTTGTGTTAGCTCAGTTGAATTTTTTTGTTAGCTCAGTTGAGTTTGTTGTTAGCTCAGTAGGCTTTGCTGCTAGCTCAGCTGACATTGCTGACATAGCTGCTGTGAAGTTACTGTTTTAATGTAGGTTTAGATACGTGATGGCTACCAACACATGAAAATACTGTATGGAGTCAGACTGTATGGAACATCAGAAACCTTATTAATTTGCTTTGCAATGCTGTGTTTGATTAACGTTAGCACCCTGTTGCTATTGTAGGCCCTGATGCTGTAATATGAGTGGCCAGCTGGACTGTGTGTAAAATTATGCTGAAGCCAATATGATGATTCGGAGATACACTTTTTATAATATTTTATCATCACACTGCAGCAGCTCTGTTGAAGTTTCAGTGGAACATCCTGTGAATATTAAAATAGGCCTACTGTCAGCAGCAGGTCTCTCCTGTCGCCGTCATGTAATGTCATACTGCAATATAAATAGTGTTCGTGACTCTAAAAATGTAATATATTACTTACTACTCTTTCAGGGGCGGATCTAGAAAAATATTTATGGGGTGGCAAGAGGGGGGCAGGAATTTTTGAAGGGTGGCAACATATGGCAGACGTATATATACTGAATTTAATCACAGTTATCACAGTTTGATGAGAAATAGTATGTTCACACTACATAAGGGCACAAGCTGCCATTTATAAACTCATACAGACAAACTTAATCTCATGCAATCAATGTCTTGCATTTGAGGTTTCATGTGAAATAGTTCATATTAGGAATAAGTGTTGAATTAGGTTCAACAAACTCTGAGTCTGACCCTGAACTCTGAGTTGATTTACCCTGAGATGGGAAACTCTGAGTTACCGGTTCCAGAACAGCTGATCTGAGTTAGTTCAGTCAACTCTGAGTATGTTCATTCTGAGTTAAGCCGACAATAAAAAGCCATCATCAATGGAGCTCTGACTCCACGATTCACCATGGCAACAGGTAAATAAAAGACAGCGCCTCCATTTTAATCCAGTGGATGTAGAGATATTAATGCACGTGTAGCAGACGGTGCACGTTTATCTTTAAAAGAAGAGCCTGAGTCAGAGCAAGGAAAGTGTCAATAAGTTAACCATAAAGTTAATAAAAAAGTTTATTCATCATTTATCAGACTTACATTTCCTTAATGAAGATAAAGTGGTGGAATCTGACTGTGTATCAGGCTGTAGATACATTACATTATATTAATAATATATCATAATATATTTGTTCAGATTTAATCTGATGGGGGAAAAACACAGGAAGCAGAAGATTTAAAACATATAGGCTAGGCTATAGATCAAAGACATAAAGACATGACTGTAAACTCACAGTCTGACCCAGTAATAATATGTTTGGTGATTTGCACTTGAAAAGACTTTGAGGTTAAAATACAGTAGATTTGAAAATGTTGCACATCTATTTGTATCTTGACTCAACAGCATTCAGTGACTTTATTTAAGTGTTGGTGGCAAATGCCACCCTATGCCACCCCGGTAGATCCGCCCATGTAAAGTAATAAATTAGTTTACTTATTACTCCCAGCACCCATTAAAACTGGGAGCGCCGTATCTCCCCAAAATTCAGATGTGTGCCTCTGTGTGGATGTCAGGGTGATCACTGTTATGTGCAGCTAAGGCTAGATAGCGTGATTTCTTTTTTTGTTTGTTTTACCTGGGGGGTTTCTGTTGCCTGTGAGCGGTATTTTCCCAAAGATCTGCCTGAAAGATGGAGAGTCACTCATGGAGCAACATTTCATCCACCACATCACTTCTCTGTGTCTGCAGCTGTCCACCAGTTAAATCCACTTGTTGTTTAGCCAGTGCAGAGCTACAGCTGACCTCTGCAGCCGTGGAGGGCTCACCTTTGGTGGGGTGTTTTTCCTGGAGTTTCACGTTGTTGTGCTGTCGGTCGTAGTAGCCGAGGTGTTTCAGACCGGAGGTTTGAGGACGTGTTTTTCACAGTGGAAACAGTTTTACCTGCAGCAGCAGTGTTCCTGTCATCTTTCCCTCTGACAAAATCAGAGTAACGGGAATATTTCCAGTCTCTAAGGTAAGCATTTCCATCTTTCAAGCTAGCGTGCTGCTTTGTGACATGCCTGTGCAGCACAACGATTACTGGAATGAATCAGCTGATGTGATGTTGTATTTTAAGTCAGTAGCGATGTGATAATAAAAGTAAAGTTGTAATGAGTTGTTTGGTTTTGGGCTAATTGTAAAATGAAAATTTTATCAGTAATTAGTTACACTACTGGTTACTGGAAAAAGTCATAATATCACTGTAACGCATTACTGCCCAACACATATTAGAAACAGTACTGGGTCTCACTCGGTCACATTTTGCACCTCCATTAAATTCACAACACAAGTGACATTGAAGTCAAATGTTGTGTGTAATCAGTTTCTTCCTCTGTAACTGATTGAATTTATATTTTACACTCTTTGTAGCTGTCTCCGTAACTACACATGTAAGATGATGTGGCAGTGAAGTATAACTGTCCCTCCTGTCATACTGTAATCACCTTGATATTATCACACAACAGTGCAATCTAACACTGAATCTGTCATGTTTTACAGGTCATCTGAGTCAACTGATGCTCCTCCCTGTTTGACGAGCTGCTCCTGGACTCAGCAGACTCTACTGATACCTTTTTTCCATTGTCACTCCTGGCTGCGCTGAGTAAAGCCATGCCGTGCAGATGTGTCTCCATTATCAGTTTAGAAGCACTGTGCCACGCCAAGCCGCACAGGAGATGGACCTTCTCTGGAGTGGGTCCAAAAGCCGGGCCGCCCGCTGTCAAGCGGGTAGTAGTGAGGTCTCGCCGACCACAGCCAACCCCTGGTGACTCCCCTTCTCCCCCTCAAACAAGCTGTGTGTGTGCTGTGAGACTCTCCTCCCCTCTGTCTGCAGGAGACCAGAGAGACAGGTGTCTTTAAAAGTATCTGTGTGTTCAGCTCTCAGTACATCTGTAGCCTCTGACTGAATCTCTGTGGTGTGGAGTTTAGTTTCTCTCCTGCGTCCTGTTTGTGCTTTAGATATCTGCTTTATTTCACTGTTCCATGTTCACTATCAGCCGTATTAGAAGTTGTGTGAAGTTGCTGCTGGAAAACTCAACATTTCCTCATTTTGCTGCTTCACAATAAAAGCTTTTACATAACAAAATAAGCTAGGACTTTTATTGTGAAGAATCTACAGGAAATTAAATGTGTTTATGACTGAATTAGTGGAACTTTTTTAGCGGCTTTTCATTTAAGACAAGTGTAATAATACAGAAGGGAGGAAGAGTGAAATCAGAAACAGCCACAGTGAGATGTTGATGAAGAGCTGCAGACAACAGGCTCTTACTGCACCTCTGCAAACAGCTCAGCTCCAACAGGTAAACTTCTTTTACCAAAATAAAACAAACCAAGCCATGACTGTGGAAAAGTAGTATTACAGTATGAAAAACTGTCAGATGAGAATTCGCATCAGTAAAGTCTCCACCACAGGAAGTGCCCTCTGTGACCTGAGAGCTCCGTTACCAGCTGACATAACTTCAGTATGAAAACAAGCCTGTACTCTGATGGAGGAGATAAAGTGGACAGTTTGTCTAAATGTTAGGGCTTTTCTACTTTTTGTGTGTTGTAATTTGTAAATTTTGATTTAAGTTTCCATTAACTTTGAATAAAGTTATGTTTCAGGAGGGTTGTTGTCATTTTTGAACTTAGCAGTAAGGATCTGTTGCAGAAATGTGACACGTCCTTTTACAAAGACTTGATGTTATGACACTGACAAACAGGTGAAAGTGAAAAACCAAATTGATTTCATGCACGTAAAAGAGTAATAAACCTGCCTGTTTAACATCCTGACTAAAATGTATGTAATACAGTAAATAGTGACTAAGCACAAAAACATTTCTTAGTATAGAGGTTTTTCTTTTTTCAGACAAAGAGATTAAGAGATGTTTTACCTTGACATGTTTCAACTGTCAGTTTCAGTCTTTTTCAGAAGCGTCATCTGACGTGCGTCGTGACGTGTCTTTATCAGCTGGTGTTTCCTTGAAGGCGTGACCAACCTGGCAATCTCACAGATGTGCCAAAGACACGTCACGACGCACGTCAGATGACGCTTCTGAGGAAGACTGAAGTTGACAGTGGAAACGCGTCAAGGTAAAGCAACATCTCCTAATCTCTTTGTCTGAAAAAAGAAAAACTTCTATACTATTTAACTGAGTCGACAAAATGAACCTAATTGAGACAAAACATTTCTGTTTCACCATCAAACTTAGTCACAGTGACAGATGACAATATGAATTAAAGCTCAGGCCCTCAGGGTGCTGGCAGGGAGCTGACTAATACCACTGTTCATTTCTCTGAGAATCGGACCCTGCACGCAGGAGCGAAATGGCCTATCCTTCATAAAGTGTGCACCTATGAATTACTTATTTCACCATTTTTGCACCACTTTTTGTGGCCACTACATGGCGCTAGAGAACACACTAATTACACATCATGTTGCTGCAAATTAACTGTAGATCACACCATGTAAATTTCTGACAAGTCTTACTTCCTGGTGCCAGTAGGTGGCACAATCACCATGATACCTAATGTGCATGCAGTCGGCTTCAGACCTGTGGTCTTATAAAGCATGTGAAGTTTGGGGCAGATTGGACCATGTATGCTGGAGTTACAAAGCACTTCCTGTTTGGTGGCAAAACATGGAAATTTGACACCTCCCCACGGTCACACGGTTTGATGAAAACTTAAGCTTTAATCAACTTTTGATGTCCAAGGTCTTAAGATGCTATGGACAAAATTTCAAGTCAGTTGGATCTAATCTGTAGGCGGAGTTTGTTAAAGTACAACCCCTGGAAAAGGCCAAAAAATGCACCAGAATGACACATTAAATTCAAAATGGCCGATTTCCTGCTGGGTTTAGGGCACGGCTCCAAGAGGCTTTTTTGTGTGTTTTGGCGTGTTACATATACCCAGCAATTTTTATACCTCTAGGCAAATCATACTGTGGGGGCTGCCTCATTGAAATGTTCTAGGGGAGCACTACTGAGCCCCTTCAGCACAGCAAGGGAAAGAAATCGGGAAACGACAGCAGAGGCCAAGCACATGTCAGTTGGGGTTGGGATGTTATGGTGTAGCAGAGGCGGTGGTGCTAAGGGTTTTCATTTCATGTTTGGATCAGCCTGGTTCTGATGGTGTTTGATGTTCTGAGGAACATCAAGGTTTAAGAAATGTTAGATCATGTATATGATCAGTGGTTAACACTGTAGAGACCGGTGTCACTGAGTTACTTGTTTTGTGGCTATCAACAAATTTGCTGTGAAACATTTTCCTTGTCTTCTTCTCCTGTCTCCTTCAGACCGTTTTAGACAGCTGGAGGTTCTCCAGCAGGTCACTACAGCATTCTCCTCCTTGGTTGGGTCTTCCTCCTCCTCACCTCTCACAGCACCGCTGGGGAAAGACCTGTCTCCTGAGGCCCGGGAGAGGAGGAGTCGGGTGGGCATGCTGTTCAGACGAGCATCAAAGAAATCACTCAGCCAAATCCACAATCAGAAAACCCCGGAGTTGACTGCACCTGCTGCCACCTCTTGTCCCTGTGCTGCACCTGAGTCACCGCAACCTCCATCCAGCCCTGGAGACAAGACAGTCCTCTTAAAAAGAGTCAAACCTGGAGTCCCTGAGACTGTGTGTCTGAGTCCTCTGGCAGAGGAACAAGGAGCTGGTCCAGACCCTCAGCCCCAGCCTAACGAGACACCTTTGATAGGCCAGGAGGAAGCACTCAGACTCAGACAGTGCCCCCTGAGGGAAGGTCCCCCCGTGACAGCCAGCACTTCTTTACTGAGGAAGAGGAGCCCGGGGCTGGCCAGGGAATCATTTGAAATGGAAGAGGCAAGTCAAGCTGCAACAGTTGTCAAAGTTCATCAACCGCAACACAAAAACTATTGTAGCAAGGTGGTTTGAGTTGCTGCCACAAGATTGGGTTAACAAGCAGTTGAGCAGGTGTACCTAACAAAGTGGCCCGTGAGTGTAAACTCTACATACATGCACATATTTTGCAGGATGAGATTTGGTCTGATAAACAGCAGCTTTCTGTCGGAGAGGAGTGTTTCAAAGAGGTTGTGTTCAGGGTGGGAGGGGTCGGTCGTGATTGGTCCTGCCGATAAAGAAACAATTTGTGGAGTGGTGTCTATATCCACAGTTTTTACTTTGAATTGCATTAGATTTTAAAATGCAAATATCTGATTTCCCAGCTATAGTTACATCACTTTAAAGCACTTTCCTGCAGTTTGTTAATGTTGTCTTTGTCTCATTCCAGATCCACAGTTTTGATGAAAGCAGTGTCACTGGGAGCTACACAGGGGCAGAACATTCAGGTGGGTCCTTTATCGTATCATTATTTAATAGAACAAGGAATCTATGGACACATGGACAGGTGTCTGTTATTTTGTATGGCGCCCATGTCTATTATAATAATGCTTTATAATCTGCTTGTAACACTGTATAACACAAAGCATCACTAGGCACGCCCGATTTAAGAGGATGACATCGTTTTCCAAACTCAATTTTGAACATTTGCACAGATAGAAAGTAGACTTGTAGCTTCTGAACCGCTCTGACTACATGCATGCATGAGGTCTTGCCAGAAAGAAAACTCCCTTAAGTTTCTTGTGAAAGTGTCAGAAACACTCTAGGTGATACAGAGACAGAGTAATGGGCCTCTGAAGTCAGTACAAAATTGAAGATTTTGCCTAAAATAAAATAAAAAATGTGTTTCAGGATGAATAACTGTCTGTGGCTTCATCTGAGCAGGTAAATGACACTGTGGGGCTGTAGGCACACTATCAATGAACACTTATTTCAAATTTGAAGAAGACTGCTCAAAGTATGACCATTCTACAGTGTTTTTACCATGAAAAGATCCAGGCGGAGCTCCAAATGACAAGTCAGTCACTCTGCTTCAAAACAGTCCTATCAGTGATCAAACAACACTCAGCCAGCTTCAAACATTGTACCTTATTGAAATCAGGTGTGATTATGATAGCTGATGTTGTTTATGACACAGAAACACCATAAAATATCACCAAATAAAGCCATATGAAACGTGAAAGTTATGATCCCACTTTCTAGACGGTATATCTCAGCCAAAAATAGTGGTAGGAGTGAGACTCTTACCTTTTATAAACCAGCTAAGTCCCCGCTAACAGCTCCACATAAGATCGCGAGTAATCCTTTAACTTTTCCCGTCGAAAAACGGCATGACATGACTTGTCACCACTCATCGCGATTTTGGACTTTGTGTGTTTAGGCTGCTCTGGTGCCAAATACATAATAAATAAAAGAAAAAC